AGAGACTCGCGCTGGATCCAACGCTCGAACCTCAGCCCATGGGCACGTCTCAGGAGGGCTTAAGCGCTGGTGCGTGTCTACTTCACCAGCGGACTCCGACTTTGACTTTGTTACTTGTTCTGGAAGACTGTAGGCGAGCGCTGGTCTAGTTAGTGTGCATCAATCATTATGACTGCCACGTGTGCTTCTGCTGCTACAATAAATGTAACTGTCAAAGCGGCATATGAGAAGGTATGTGCAAGCTTCCGAATCAGCCGGATAAGTGTCGCACCGCTGTCAAAGGAGCAGTGTCCGGATTATCCACCGTCTAAGGCTTCATAGTCTTTCTCCCCAGAGGCCAGCACATTCTGGGGACATGGACCCGCCGCAGACCTTTCAGTCTCAAGCAAGTTTCAGCGTTTGCCGATCTCAACGCCTACATGCACTTTTGCAATGGAACTCGTTTGCACAGTTTCCCGGAAGCTTCATCTCAATACCAAAATCAGATGCTTGCTGGCGCCTAGTAGGTGCCGAGATCAGCCGAACAGGACCATCGGATGCACCTTAGCAGCTTGGTCTTGCGGAGTCTCAGCGGGCCCACTGACTGAAGCTTGCAACGAAATCCTTACCGAGGTTCGGACTTGTGAGACTTCGTCCACTGTTGGGTGGCCGACCTTGCGACACCTGCCCGACTTGCAAATCGAAGGAATTTGTCCCAGCTCCCTGGACGTCACCCCAAAACGCTGAGCACTGCACAAGGATGATCAAACCGCTCGGGCTGTGACTAAACTTACCTTTGGTTAGTAGGGAATGGAAGAATGGTACTTATAATTGTATCCCATGTCTCCATTCCCTACTAACCAAAGGTGACTAAAGGAGCCTTCTGATGCCCAGCTGCTTGTGCTGCAGGACCAGCCATGGCTGCGCCTTTTGGACTGCACTCGATGCGCCAGGCTCGCCTACCCTCGATCCATCGCATCTGTATGCGGTGATTACCTGATTAATACAGGAACCTTGATAAGTAAAATAGGGTTTTGGGGTATATTATACCCTAAAAATTATAATAAGGAGTCCCCCCCACACAAAAAACAGTGTTGGTAATTCCTTCGGCCCCTATATTGGGGGGTCCTTATTATTAACATAGTAAAAACCCCAAACCCTATTTATATTAGCTTCACTGGTTCCTTCCTGCTGGCCTTTGGCAGCGCTGACGGCTACTTCTGCAGCTCGTTCGGCCTCTGCGCAACATGAACGCAGCGCCTGAAACCCTTAAAAGGAACCTTTAAAGGATCCCTTAAAGGAACCCCTTTCTACACCTGGACTACCTTAAGGCATGCGAAAATTCAGCTTCGTGCCGTAATTAGTTCAGCTCATCCCACGATCATGAAACGGTCGGTGCTTTCTGTGGATTCTGTGTGCTTTCTGGGTTGGTCTTGTTTTCCTGCGTTGCTGCTGCAAGTTGCTCTTTGAACCAGGCTGGGGTGATGCTTGAAATTATAACTTTTTTGAAGCAAGGCTCTGCAGCTATGCCTGCCTCTCCAACCCTTAGCTTATGTCAAATGAAGAAAGCCGATGAAGAAAGAAGCCGCATGTGGATACCAAGTTTCGGGAATCACCTTGAATTCGCAATAGAGTTTCGGATACACAAGCTACAAGACTGGATATGACCTGGCAGAGGCAGCCCCACTTCGCACATCTAGCTACAACATCCAAACTATGCAGAGCCATAGCCACTTGTAAATCCAAACGAATGACTCACAAAATTCCAACATAGCTACTGAGGAGAAACATGAACCCTACAAACCAATGTATGTGGAACACACCTATGTGTGGTTGCTTGTTCCACACGTGCTCCAGATTACACCTGCATGCCCGAGACAAGTTCACGCCCAAGCCTGACCAACACAACAAGCCCGGAGAACCCACTACCCAATAATTAAGGAATATACCTTCAATCATACTATTACGGTCCCCTGTCATTTAAGCGTTAATCCTTAATTAAAGGCATTAAAGGGTATTGGGATCTTTGGGAGGTGCGGAACATCTCGCCAAACCCTGAGCTGCCTCGTCGAGCCGTCTCTGCAGCCTTGCTTGCGCCACGGATTCGCGGAGTTGCTGCGCCTGGCCAGGCTTCAATGCAACCAAGCTCATTGAGGCTAATGAAGGCATAGGCGCTCCGCAGAGTCCGCATGCTGCTCACTTTAACTTAGGTTCCACACTCGCGACATTTTGGATTCTCACAACTCGTACATTCCAAAACGTGCGGCACAGTTCTCTGTCTGGAGCCTCCAGGGTGTCCTCGAGACTCGGGCCTTGCAGTGGTTTTGATACAGCTGGAAACCACTCAAAAACAGGGTCTGGGCGGCAAAGCCAACGACGTGCAAAAATGAGACGTTCAACGCAGAAATATCACGAAGTGTTGGAGCTGGTGCCGCAGCCCTGAGGATAGCTGTAGCAGTAGCAGCAAAACAACAGCAGTAGCATCAGTAGCGGTAGTAGCAGCAGCAGGAGCAGGAGCAGGAGCAGTAGCAGCCGCGGGAGTAGTAGTGATACTAGGAGAAGTAATAGTAGCAGTAGTAGTAGCAGTAGTGATAGTAGTAGTAGTAGTAGTAGTAGTAGTAGTAGTAGTAGTAGTAGTAGTAGTAGTAGTAGTAGTAGTAGTAAGTAGTAGCAGTAGTAGTAGTAGTAGTAGTAGTAGTAGCAGTAGTACTACTACTGCTACTGCTGCTGCTGCTACTACTACTACTACTACTACTACTGCTACTACTTACTACTACTCCTGCTACTACTACTACTGCTACTACTACTACTACTACTACTACTACTACTACTACTACTACTACTACTAGTACTCCTACTACTACTCCTGCGAGTGTTAGTGCTGGTGCTACTGCTGGTGCTGCTGCTGGTGCCAGTGTTAGTGCCAGTGCCAGTGGTAGTGCTGGTGCTAGTGCTGCTACTACTACTGCTACTACTGCTACTACTACTACTACTACTACTGCTGATGCTAGTGCGAGTGCTAGCTAGCGCTAGTGCTACAGCAGCAACAGCTACTACGACGACGACGACGACTACTACTACTACTACCGCTACTACTACCACAACAACTAGGGATGCTGCGACTGCCACTACCACTACCACCACTTCCACCAGCACGGCCGGTACACCATCAGCACCCACCGCGATCACGACCACGACCACTACTCGGCGTCCTACTAGTCGTACTACTCTCCGCTCCTGCTCCTTCCCCTGCTACGAATAAGTTCGTTGTGGCACTGCGCTACCCAATGTCGAGAAATCGAAGACGAAGACTCAGTTTTGAAGCCTTCACTAAGAGATAGCACTGCACCGCCAGGGCTGCCACCCTGTCCTTTAGAAAGGCAAGGTCCCTCGGGCACCACGTCGGAAGAGCTAACCTGACGCAGGACACAATTCTTGAGGATTTCGGGGCTCGGAAAAAAACGGTTGAAAGGGGTTTTCGAATGTGGGGGACAAAAACGTTCCGTCACCAACACATGAACGGAAACTCCTTGCCCATTTTTGCCGACCTCATGTCGGTGTCACCTAGGCATAGCTCCCGTGGCAAATAGAAGTCCTCAAAAGGCCTGAGGTTGCACAGCTTGAGTCTCTGCTGTAGGGGCCTTCACCATTAGAACGCGATTTTTGGAGCATGTTAGCTATGTTTCTAACAAGGAGGGATGTATATAATGCAACTGTTCAGGCTGTTATCTTAGTGGCTCCAAAGCTGCTGGGCTCCGTACAGACACCGCGGCCGGACACAAGAGCAAGGCCTGAATATCGAGAGGCTGAAAGGCAACGGGCGGGTCAAAGCAGGATCCGTTTCGATGGCTCCTTTCGGACATCGTTTTGAACTACCTTTCCTGAAAGCACAGTCTTGAGCACGAAACACGAATCTAGTCTTGCAAAGTGTGTAGAGGGCCGCACATTGGCATGCTGTTTGGGTAACATTCAGAGGTGCTCTACCTCTTCCCCAATCTTCGGCACCCTGAAGCCTGCACAACCAGTGGAAAGACAAGAGCCCAGCTCGGAAGAGGGCGTCCACCAAGCAAAGGCAGTCCTGGCTCAAGGTGTAAGGTGCTCGAAATTGACTCACGGGACATTGACATCCGAACACCGAAATCTCTTCAAATCCGATGCAAAGCATGAGTGCACATTCGCCGGATGTCCAACTAAAGCGCAAGAAGCAAGCTGCACAGTGTCCTGAGCACAAAGCCTGCCCGAACGGTCCTGCAGACTCTGTAGATGCACCGGTTGATGAGTGTGTTTCTGAACTTCTCACCGAGAGCAAATTTCAGGCGCAACTGCCCCACACAGGACGAACGAACGGATCGTTGTCCTCATCGAACTTGGCGAACATCCGCCGCTGTGCATCCTCCAAACGACCCAGCATGCGGTTCTTATGAAGCAGCGAGTGCTCAAAATGGTGACACAATCGCGGCCTTCGGCCAAGAAGCCAATCCTGCATCCGACACCCCCATGACGAGCCCACGTAGACTACCAAACACAACCTGTTTCCCGTGCCGACCCTGCAAACATGTTGCGCTGTAGATACGACTGTACGGGGACTATAACGGGATGTTGTTAGTAATGCTGTCACATGCTTTTGATCAACGGATCCCGCCTGTGGCGGAGCCTGCAAACCCTTGCGTTGGAAGACTGCTTCGATGAGGTCACTCACCTGAGAGCGGGCACCGTATCGACAGCGAGCTTCTGGCACAGACATGTACACTGACAAATACAACTGGGGCACAGGGAGATCTGCAAGTTGCATGGTTCGTCGTCTGTATACACACTTTCTCACAACCTGAAGCGCCCCCTCGTGGCCTAGACCGTGGCCACCCAACCAACCCTACCATGGCCTTCAGACTCCACTGGCTTACGGGTTTAGGGTCTCGGGACCGTTTTGAACGAGGTCTCTCTGAAGTGCCTAAACCCTAAACGCGGGTTTAGGGTTTCGGGACCCCAATCCCTAATCCGTAAACGCGGGCTTGGGGTCTGAGTCTAGACCCCAGATCTGACTTGGTTTGCTCTCAGGTTATACTTCCCTCGACCCTCAAGGTTTAAGCTTGGGCAAAAAAGTCTCAGCCCTGTGCTATAATGCAACAACATGAGGTGTGGTGACGGCGCCATCAATCAAGCCAATGCCTCTTCATCCTCCCAGCCCAGCATTCCATGCCGATGCGCGTCGCAAAGCCTGCTCAGAGGGAAGCGTGGGCAGGTCATCGACATACAAAACTGGAAGAGAGTACACATACAGTGAGACCGCTGTCTGTCAAAAGCAAAGGTAAGACATCATGATTCAAGCACACAGCTAGTCTCGTTGTCGCCTCAACCCGAGCGGTGGCAGCCTGTTGTGATAAAGATAGGGAGACTCATGATCTACTGGGGCCATACAAGGATTCTACAACAATGATAGTCATGGTAAGACAGGTTAACTGAGGCTGCTGGCTCATGCATGCTGATGAATCGCATCCTGGAGACCGGCAGATGCCCCAAAACCTGAAACCCACTTCCCAACCAACCTCGCCTAACTGAGATCAGATGCAGGGCATCACAACTCTCTCAGTCTCACATCTCCGCTTCGCAGTTTTTGCCCGTGGATGGAACCCCCTATGTCGCAAATCCCTTGCACCCGAATCCCCGAACCCGAAAGGCTCAGGTTCGAAACCCCTCAACCCTTGGCCTGAAGCTCTGCAAGGAGGCGCGAGCCAGCTCCCCACCTGCCCAGCGCCCCCGACTTCCAGACGAAGCTCTTCGAGCGGGAGTTTTCACACACATAGTTCTCATACGTCGATACCTGTATGCATGCATACATGCACGCGTGCATGCATGCATACCAACCACATAGACACACACGCACATATATATATATATATATATATATATATTTATAGTATTTATGCAACCAGACGAACATACATACATACAGGCATCCTTTAGGCGCGTGTACGTGTGCGTCTCTCTCTCTCTCTCTCTCTCGCTCTCTCTGTCTCTCTCTCTCTCTCTCTCTCTCTTTCTCTCTCTCTCTCTATATATATATATGTATATAGGCATATATATATATATATATATATACATATTCAGATGTATGTTTATACCTATGTACGGACATATACATATGTATGTGTATCTGTATGTGTGTGTAGGTACTTTTGTATCTGTATGTGTAATTTAACTACGAGAACATAAGTGTGTATAGACGCATGCATGTACAATACCATAGTTGCACAATACGCATGACAATATACAGCCTGACAGACCTTCACGCTGTGTAAAGCACTTGAAAAGACAAACACATGATGTCATGATAGAGACGAACCATGCTTCGGGGTTTTGGGTATAGGGCATAGGGTGTGCAGAAACGGAAATTGCTACAGTAATGCAGAACGCTAAAAAAATCCCTCGTGGTAGGGCTCCGGCTCTCGACAGCGGCGGCTGCAGACCTTTAGGCAGCTTCGCATCGAACATGAGCCCACTGACCGGCAAGGTGCTAGATAACGTACGTTCAATCTCGGAACACGAACCAGCTCAAAAAGGCATTATGAGACGCATGAAGAAGCAGCTGGCAAAACTTGATCAAGTGCCCCCCTCCACGTGCGGGACGAAAATGCTAGAAGTCTGCACCGTAATTTCAAGGCAGCCGAAGCAAGCTCCACAACATAAATCCTAGACTAACCTCTTCGTAATCCACTCAGAGCCCGGACCGGAGTTTCTTCGGTGGGCTGGCCTTATCCAGCGCAAGCTTGAAGACTTTCGGGAAACCACCGAAACTGCAGGCGACTTAGTCGAGTTCCACCACAGACGCGGCTTTCAGTGTTACGGCTGACTAGCATCTGCGTCAGCCGTTGTCGGCACGTGCAGCTGCTTGGCAACCTTGGGGACCTAACGCACGAGCATCTGTTATTCGTGAAGGCCTTCAAGATGGAAACAACCTCCGACTGGCTGTCACCAACCTAAACTCGGAGCCCAGCAACAACCCGTGCCAGGACAGGTTTGGCAGCTAGAGGCCTAAGTTCCTTCGGCAAGTCGCCTGCCATCTTAGCCGCAATCCTCCATCACAAACGACCAGATCAGAAATGGAGCTTGTTGCTCCACCAACCCTTAAGCCCTAATCCCAGAAGCCAAGAACCCTAGACTCCGAATCACGACACCGTCACTGAACTCCCGAGGCCCATGCCAAGGCTATAGGTATCATGTGCGAGAAGAACTCGGGAAAGGAGATAATGACCTCGGCATAATGCGTCTGGTTCTTAGCAGAGAATGGAGGCATGCTTGCTGGCTGGTAAACACTGCTTCTACAAGATCCGCACGAGCCCAGCACAACATATCTAGATCATCCGAGTCTTTCGTCATGCGACGTCCGATTATTGAGGCTCTGAGCAACTTTCAATATGCCTGATGCCCCGAACAACTAGCAGCTCTCCTTGTTGGCGCCGGACACCCTTCAGGTAGGGCAGGCTGGAGCCTTCCAGTGGCATCCCGGCATGGTAGAGGACCTGGGTACGTCGGAAGTTTGGCTTTCACGTTGAAGCTGGAGGAGGTTTCGGGTTGAGGTTGCAGTGGTGGTGCAGGCAGAACCCCGGCTCGAAACTAGCCGGCTAGGATCTAGAAACTTCTGCACTCAAGTACACAGTTCGCTCTAGACGTCACGCGAGTAGGCACCAGGGAGCAGACTAAAAACCCAAAATCTGCAGCAAGTCTGGCTTGCGTGCTACCCCTCGGGTCATACAGCAGCCCCTCCGAAGGATAGCAACGGCCCCAAGCAAAGGCAGTAATGGTCAATACAGCTGATGACTTTTGTTGTAGCATAGTGTTGCCAATTATTCGCAGCATCCACCCCGAAGCAGCAGCAGCAGCAGCAACAACTGTCAACACGGACCTCAGCGCCCCGACCCACTGCTCTGCTTCATGCATAGCTGCCTGGTACGCCTGTCGAAGACTCACTGCAGCTCTGGGTTTGAGGATACAGTAGTCTCGCACCGTCCGGAGAATGGAAGGCGAGGCTTGGGCCGTTCACAAAGCAGCTTACTACACACAATAACAGCTCAACACCCCCGACAAAACTCGGCAGTAGCCCAAATAATCCAGCAAACCCAAGCATCGGGCAACACGCCAAACGCCATCAAAGCTCCCCGGGGACACCCCGCATCACGGACGTCAGGAATCTGACACAATATCGCCTCCTCAGCACATATCGTAGACACGACACAGCTGGAATGAAACCCATACGATATAACTGCAACCATCCTCGGGACCATGAGCCACGTCAGGAAGTACTTCATTGTAGAACCGGCCCAAGCCCTATGGCGTGATTTTGAGAAGTGCCTTCCTTCTGGTTTTTGGCTAAAAGAGAGTTTGGGCATGACTGGGCTTTCAAGCCTCCTGATCGGATCTTGCGGGGTGATTTTGAGTACTGCCTTCAAGAAGCCGTGGCGCGTAACGTAGCACAGTGGGGCAAACACATGTGCCACCCTGTTTCGTCTCCTGGTGCGCCACTGATCGGCTCAATCCTGGAAACCACAGGACCACAGCACACCCCTGAGCCAAAATCGCAATCTTGGCATGCAATAAGACACATGAAGCCCAGGACGTCTTACAAAACCCTTATAGAACCTGCTGGCACCCACATAAAAACCTTATGAAAACCCTTTTCGAGCTTTCAGAGCCCTTTTGGAATCACGGTGGAAAAGCGGAAAAGCTCCCAAATTCAGAACCCTTTGTGGACCGCCTCCTCGCTTTCCGGCTTCGGGGCCATGGCCTCTATCCTGGCTCCAGCCAAGGTCCCATAGTAGGGTTTTCGACGCTCACACTCGCTCAAGGCAGGCAAGGCTCCACATAGTAGGGTTTAGGGTTAGTAGTTCCTTTTTGGGATTACCTTATAAAATTCTGAATATGGACCCGAAAAACGAACTACTATGGGGCCTACGGGTAGCAAATTTCCTCCCACTCTTGGAGGAAGGGCCCTCCATGTAGGAATCATAACAACATTCAGAACTCAGAATCTCATAAACAAATACCGATACTACTACAGAACGTTTTCAATACTCGTACTAATTAAAACAATACAAAGAGTTGAACATGATTGGCTCGGGTTTAAGACCTGACGCTGACATGGGATGCCGTCAGCCTATCCAAACCCTAGAAACGTGGTATTACCTTCACACATATCTAAATTCCTTGCTGGGCTCCATCGGGGTGACTTATGAATATGCTGGTCTCGACCGTTCCTTCTGGTCTTGTTGTACCATCTTATCTCGGGTCCGGTGAGCTATGTCTTCGTTTGTATTCTCTCTTTCTCTCTCCCTTGATGCTCTTTAGAGTTTAGGGTTCGGTCTCTGCTTAATGCTAGTCTGACAGTAACCGTGCTCATTCTTTCAGAGACACCACAGAGGAATCTGGATCTAGACAAACTTGACTGAGATGCTCATCAATCTGACCTACTCCTTACCGCAACATTCAAGACAAATCAAAGAGCCCTGGTTCGCAATGCCTTGCACTTAGCACTCCTGCGTTTTATCATATCTGGGGCACCGCAAAGACGCCAAGTGGATCCGGAGAACACGACTGGTGACATGTATCACCCTGCATGGTACTCTCATTGACCCTAAACCCTAAACATGTTTCCGGCCTTTGCATTAATGCTCTGTTGTCATCCTCCAGTGCCTGGCAGGAAGTCCAGGGCAAACTGGACAGTGAGCCCAGGCTGTCAAGCCACAAATCCCCGAAGGCCGTTGACCCTGTACCAGGTCGCAACAGTGGTCGACACCGGACGTAATGTGAAGTACACGAGTTCGACTTGGGCATGAATGGACTGCGGTGTACGGTGCGCGCACTTCAGAATCCCCCGTTAGACAACTGCTGTCAACGCACACCGTCTGAAAAGTGGCCAGGTCATGCTTGGGCTTCCTGAAGCAAGCAAGTCTCAAACAAAATGATCTGGTCTGTTGCGGCTACTTGTGAGACCTGTTTTGGCTTAGGTTGCGAGCGACGGCGTAGATCTTAGATCAGTGTTGCTCAGTTTGGGTAGGGGTCAATGTACACCTTCGTCCGGCTGGAGTAGCCTGCTACTACGATTTTAGCTTATGTCTGCAGAACAGGGAATGAGCATCCCCCTGAATCAGATCGGAAATAACATACATGAGTCATACGTGTAGAAGCTGCCATGGAAGTTGATCGAACCCATGCTCTTCAGCACTACGTCGGCCTCCTTCGCCGCTTGCAGCCGAGCAGAGTCCGCCTGCCGGCTTGAATCCTAGAGTTTATAAGGGGGCTTCCGAAACTTGGGGCCCTTATTGAACATACCATCCTTTTAAAAATTTTCAGGACCCCAAACCAAGGTACCCCTTGGTTTTCGGAAACTCCCGTAAGGGTTTCGGCGCTCACACTCGGACAATCCAGGCGAGGCATGTGCATGTGGCACATGGTACCATAAGGGATTCGGGTTTAGGCCAGGCCGAGAGCTCCGGCCTTACGATTAGGCGGTTAGGCTTTCGGAGCAGAACAACCAAGCCTTGATCCTTTCGTTTCGGGTTACCGCAGTCTGAGATCCGGTTGGAAAGATGAGGCGACTTTCATCCGCTGGAGCGAAATCTCATGTGCAATTGGCGCAGGTTCAAAAGCCGGAACAGCAAATCCTTGCTGTATTGCCATGTGCTCATCGCATGTCGGCAACTCGGCTTGGCATCTCACCCCTAGCTTGTGTTCATTTCGGCACCTCAGT